AAAAATAGATCAGATATGAATTTATAAAATTTAAGCAGGCAAATTTGCCTGCTAAAACTGGACGGTTTAAGGGATAGGGAAGATGTGACAAACTTACAATGGAAATTTGAAGGTAATGTTTAACATATCTATGAATATTAATTTTACTGATAAGATTTGATAATAATAAAATAATTCCAGACTTTTATGTCATTAAATAAATAATAATAAAATATATTAAGAATTTGAACATTCCAATAATTCGATAAGATAATATCACTTTGTAAGTTCTTAATCTATTATAAATGCACCTTTTAAACTTCTTTAGGCACTACGCCAATTTTATCCCATTTTAGACAATCCCGATCAGTTTCATTCAATTCTCTGATCTCACCATTTTTATTGATTCTCATTGCAATAAATGATGGAGAAACAGAAATAGAGGGAGATAGTACATCTTCTTTAACAAGATCAATTATGGAAGTATTGTTATCTTCTATAGAAGTAACACGTTTTATAAAATCTCCACAACGTTCAAACGCTGTTTTAGAAGGTTTGGAAAACGATAACATCTGAATAATTGATCATTTATAAAATTATGAATAAAAAAAATTTGTAAGTACCATATGTTTACGACAAGAAACAATATTTCAGAAAACATTTTTACTTACGTGCCAGGCATGAGGCATATCATCATAAACTTCAAGAATAACTTTAGTAGGATTCTTAAAAGGTGACTTTTCAAAATTTTTAGTTGCATATGAAGGTAGTTGATATTCATGAGGACTTGCTGCTTTATAACTAATTAGGATAGTTTCGTCGCGAAATTTTTCATCGCCAACTTGCTATAATTATTTCGCATATTAATTATTTGAAGTCATAATTAATAGAAGAGATAAAATTGTAAAAAAGTAACTTACGCATAGAATAGGTGGTAAATTCCCTAAGGACTCCGCAAGCATAGGACTAGAAATCAAAATTTTATTAAGATATATACTAAGATAGAATTATAATCACCATTAAATTTCTTAGATAAGATAGGCGTACTTGCCTAACATAAGGAATTGCTAATGCTTCATTAGCACAATAAGGATGGAAGCGAGGTACTTCAGTAAAAGAGGGATGACTAACGATTGTAGGCTTTTTTAGAGCGATTTTATCAACTAGAGCTTTTGCATCGGCAAGATATTCCTCCACGATAGGTGAAGAAGGACCAAGATCAAAAAGGCCTAATTTTGAAGGTATATAATCTATTTTGTCTATTTCAGCACTCCATGCGGATGGCATACTTTGTGTTAAATCAACCTGTTTTTTTGAGAAAATACTAAGTTTTTAATTAATTTAAAATTGAAGCTATTGAATTCAAACATATACTACCCATGGTGACTTTGAGCATCAAGTGAACGATAAATATAGTTGATTGTTTTGTAAATAGGTTTACTAAACAAAAGAAATTCATTTATTTACTTAGCATTAATGCTCACCAATGCAATAGAACCCCCTGGTAAAGGTAATCCAGCATCTCTTAAAAATAATAGCATTGCAAAAACCAAAGTGGCACCTGCACTCTCGCCAGATAATACAATTTTTTTAGGATTGATCGGTTCAAATCCAGCTTCTGGTCCAGGATTTATAAGATATAGATACGCAGCGATAGAATCACAAAGAGCAGCTGGAAATTGGTTTTCTGGCGAAAGGCGATAATCAAGTGCTGATCCAACAAAAAATTTATAATATTAAGGATTGATTACGATATTAAAATACAATTAATCAGATAACTTACCAAAAACACGAGAATTAGCAGACTCAGCCAATTTGAATGTAAACCTTCTAGCAATTTTAAAAGAGCCGAAACGAAATGCACCACCATGTAAATATAAAACCACATTATCAGGTTCACAATTTGTTTCATTAATCCATTCCCCACGTAATCCTCCATCATTTGGTTCTTTCCATTTATCGTCTAACACATCTTCACATTGTTTCAAAGCTTTTTCTAGATACGTCATACTCTTTCGCCTATATTCCTCATCTAGTATAACTTCCTTTACAGTTATATTAGGAGGAACTTTAATAATAAAATTTACTGATCCCTTTCGAAGCTGTTCAATAGGCACTGTCGAAAAACGAGTGTTGTTTTTAAGCAAAGTCACTGCTAAATGAAACTTTAAATCCCAAGATTTTTTAGGTGGACCTTCAGTATAATGTTTAAAAATAGTTGAAGATAAAGTTGGAATTAACGGAAGTAATAAAAAGAAAGACATTTTTATTTTTATTTTTTCAAAAAAAAAAAAAACTTTTTTTTTGATGGAAATACTTATTTTATTATGTTATTTATTAGGTACGCACTAATGTTGTACCTATGTACGTACGACGATACTGGAAATAAATATTCGCGGATTTATCTTGGCCAAGCCATTCTTAATTATACTTGTCACTCAAAAAAATCTGACACTATATTTTATACAATACTTATGAGTATACTATATTTTTTGCTATTTTTAAGAATATTAATGTTTGTAATAGCCAACACATGAACACAATTTATGATGGTTTATTAGATCTTGTAACATAATCAATAGTGAAGCTAAAGAAAATTTTGTTATAATAACTAACTATTTTGTGCTCTAAGTTTCGGTACAAATATATATACACTCTAATATAAACTTACCTTAACCTTAGCCTTGAGGTAAATTAGATTTACTTAACTTGCTTCTACATTAGCTCATTCTAAAAAATTTAACAAGTTGAATGTATTTTTCGGAGTCGGGTCAAATACCGGCCGAAAGACATAATCTAACCAAATCCACCCAATTATTGAGGATTGGCAATGTAACAATTTATTATTATGTAATCATTGCCTAAGATTTATCCGTTACACTACCCAATATTTATTCCTTATTATGTACGATTGTTTATTGCAAATGTACAATTTGTAGATCAGCAAATATTTTTACAGATTTTTACTAGTTACGCAAAAATTTGAAAGTAATGTTAGGTAATAATAGTGTTAAAATCTCTCTAACTATATCTCGAATTAACGAAATCCAGAACCATTGATATCTTAAAAGTTATAATCCTAATAAGCATTAGGAAAAAATTGCTTTGTGATGAGAAAGATGCGAATGTAAATCTCTCTAATTATGTCTCGAATTAACAAAATCCAGAACCATCGATATCTTTAGTTAAAACCCTAATAAGCATTAGGAAAAATTGTAAGCAAGATCAGCGTATTATGTAATACGTCATACTGACCTATTAATACTAGCAAATAATAAAATTAGTCAACTACATACGATATTGACAGCTTAGAGGAATTTTAACCTCTAATATTTTTTCGAGGTTCTTATTGAACAACTCCCGTTTTTGCAATCATGTGAATAATATTTTGAAATGATGTAGTACGTACGTACTGTACGTATGAGCACAAAATAATTGTACGCCACAGAATAAAATAAGTTATTTGCTAATCATCATTCTGCAGTCCATTAATTCCATAACACAATAAACTCCAACGGATTCAATGAAAAAAAATTCACACAGGCAGTTCCATAAATCGTTTTCTGATTTCAGAATTTTATTTCGAATCATTTATCTGAATAGTGATGCCCATAGAGATAGGAATCAAAATTGATTTTAAAGTTGCGCATGTATTAATTAGGAGACATGTCAATGACGCATCGATTTGGATATTTTTATGATGTTTCGGAGTGTAATTGAAGGTAGAATTGATTTTCAAATTACAGCTATTTCCATAAATTCTATTTATCTCAGTGTTACATGACATAAATGCAATGAGGATCTAGCCGAATAATTGCTAAACACTTCAGATCTTCTGCGGGCCAGTCAGTTTATAAAAAATTCCAAAAGTATGGATGTTACTTTAATAAACATCATACAGTATTATAAATATATAAAAATTTTACTTTGAACTTTATTATAATTTTTAAGACTTTGTCGGCAAATATTAATAAAATCTTGACCTCTAATTTTGCAATTTTTTCGAACCAGTTGACAGATTCCTGATCGTATCTAACCTTTTTTTGTAGCGTCTACTCGTGTAATATTGGTGTTATGTATCAAAAAGATCTATTTTAACAAATTTTTAAAACTTTTTTTATTTGATTTTGAATAGATATAATATTCAATAAAAAGTTTGCTATAAGTTACAAAGCTAATTATATAATAAAAAGATCCATAAAACGAATTCGAAGTAGAAAATTTTATGTGTTTTTGTTTGTATATTATTAAATTCAATTTACTCGAAATTGTTTATTTATACTGTATGTTTATTAAGAAAGTCCAATGAAAATCTATTAATTGACAATAAAGTTTTTGCTATAATTTTTGTACAAACTAAGCATGTCATACATATTAAGGCGAAAATTTAATAAAGGTGTTAAAAGAGTTGACATTGCGAATGCAATATAAATATTGATTGCTATAATAGTAACACGATTTTTCATCTACTAATCATGCACTAATCACACCGAAATCAGTAGCTTATCGAATTTGGCCAAATAGCTATTGACAAATTTATTTAAGGTGTCTCGGAATTTATGAAAACAGCTGTAATTATACTATATGGTAAAAATGCCGAATTCAATAATTTTATACTTGAAGGCAGCACGTGAATGATCTACCAATCAAATTACAATCTAAGTATGCATCTATAGCAAATTTTGAAAAAATTTTCCTACGTTTTCTGTTCTAGAGTTTCAAGTTACATAGTGATCTTGCAGATCTGTTGCATAATGTTAAATGTAGATATTGCAGAGATGTGTTAAAACCTGTAGTATTTTATATTGATACCTGAATTTTAATTTATCTTTCGATATAATCCATAAAATTATAATACTTTAGCGAACCTCTTTTTGCGGGAATCGGATTGTTGACTATGTGAAGACTGGTAGATACTACAGACGCTTGAATGCTTTCAAGTTATAAAGGAGCTATAGGGTTGGCATTCGATAATGCCTTAGCTCTATAATAGGAATCGGCATGGAAGTCAGTCGATTAGTTAATCGATGAATCATTACATAAACATTCATGCATATATCTTTATTGATCAACATCATATCACTACATTCAGACATTAAACCCTTACATGAAGTTCCTGCTAGGTGACCAATAAATTTGTCAACCGTGTAAATCGCATCAATCTATTGAACATATTAGGGGTCACAACGCATCATACCCTAAAGGTTTTTAGTTTTCCCGTTAAGTTGAAACTAATCCCAATAAAATTTTCGAATACAAAAAGTTGTGACACTTTCTTGTTTATTTTTATATCCTGAGATACAGCTTTTTTTGTCAACAAATCCAATGGAAACTAGAGGTTCTAATTTTTATATAATCAGACTTGTTCAACAAAACAACAGAAATCAAGTTTTTGGAAATACTGTAGTGTAGATTCAAGCCATTTATATTCTATCTCTTTATATAACAATTTATAACTTCCCTCGAATTTAGGCTTGTTAAAATCAAGCTATCTAGCCTAATATGCACTTAGTGATGCGAGCATTAGAAGTAGGTTGGATTGACAAATATTTTTTTAATGGCACACCAAAATGGTATGCCAAATGATGCACCATTCATAGTGTACCAACTAACCAACCCCTTTAAAAATCAAAAAATTCTCCTTTCCATCTCCACTCGCGTCACCAAAAAATCCTACTTCCGAAGTTTCCCGATGCACTTGCTCGTATTTTACGTATGCCATTTCCGATAGTAGACTTAAGTACGTATGCTTATTTACAGGTGGATTGACTCTCCAACCCAGGTTGGATCCCAGGTTAGATCAACTGTGAACTATGGATTGAAATCAGTTTAGTCGACTAAAAAATTTTTATAGTAAGCTACTATGTTTAGTCGACTAATTAGTCGACTAAACATAGTAGTGACTAAACCGATTCCAACCCTACTGTGAACTCACCATAGATGACTCTGGAACTTTTTTTATTAATGCCATAGAAAAATGTATTATTGTGATTGGCTCGCCATATTCTCTCCATGCTTAAATTGATATGCCGTGGCACGCCCAATTTGAGTCGCCATCAGGGTTTAAAATTGGCTTGCACAAAGATGCACATGTGCAAGTAGATTTTTTTTTGTGCAAGAGAAGTTCTAAATGTATATGCACAGTGTGTAATTAAATTTGAATAATGAGCTTGCGCAAAAAATGATGTGCAAGAGAAATTATAAAATTTTATTGCACCAAAATTTAGTTTAAATACAAAATATGAATAGGCTAAAGATATTCTGAAAAGGTCCGAAAGGAAAATGAATGAACGTAAAATACGAGCAAGGTTGAACTTAAATTTTGAGAAAATATTCCAAAAAATCAAACAAAAATATAAGATATATCTGGTATAGTAATTTTTAAATTTTTATACCATTGGATCACCTAGAGACAATAAATAAGTACATATAAAAATAAATTTTATATACACATGTGGGCGATTAAAACCTATGTCACAACTGCATTTGTTCATGTAAGTTTCGATCTGAATTTTAAACCCTGTTTGGAGATAATAAATATGTGCATATAAAAAAAAATTTATATGCACACGTGTGCAACTAGTAGTTGGTTTGTGCAAGTAAAACTTGCGGCACGTGCAAGAAGATTTCGAGCTGAATTTTAAACCTTGGTCGCCATTGCGACACTATCTCATCTACCTTGCGCCAACAACCCTAATTAGAAGTTATTGGAGGCAGAATGACAATAAAATTTCAATGATTCTTTTCGATAGTTCTGTAGCTTCCAAAGTTTCCAAAATTTAATAAAATAAATTTGATCGCCAAATGTATTAAATCTGAAAATTTTGAAGGCATGTGATTGTTTACACTTGTTTGATGAAATATTTATTATTTCTAGAATTGGAAGCCTTGCCGGTTTCTGCTACAATAATCTTTTACGGAGTCTGAAGCTGCAATAGCCTAATCTCAAATGATGAATATAAAAAATAAAGATCTAAGAGGCTTTTCATGACACTTCTAATATTAAGAAACTACAGTATAAATTTTTAGTAGACAATCATCAATTATACGTGATGTAGAGTTCCAAATATAGATTTGTCATGATAGTTAGTTAAATAAGAAAAGGTGTTCAAAATGATCAATTCCAAACACTGAAGTATATACAATATAGAAACCATAAAAGGCTTACGTGGTTAGTTAATAATTTAATTTATGTTACTACAGACGCAAATTATTCGGGTGTAAACAACAAAACAATAATTAAGAGATGATATCTCTGTGGGTA